CATTCATTTCTTTCTGGAAAAATGCACCCAACGATTACATATCAACTTACCATAGTTTTTCTCTTTGATTATATTTCCAGTTGTATAAGAATCGCCCCAGTGTTTGTTTCTAAGGGTGCACCTACACAGCAAAGTTCTTTTGGAATAATGGTTGTTATTCCGAAATAACTATGCGAGCATCTACACAGCCATTCCATTATTTCGAAATAGTTTCAAAATAATGGGCAGTCTATTCCGAAATCTGTAAACCTCATTCTACAAAGAATAACTCCTATTCCAAAATAGCTATTTCGAAATAAGGTGTGTACAGATGCTCCCCTTCTGCTATTTTGAAATAGCCCCTTACCAGAGCCATTCTAAGTTATTCCTCCCCAGGGCCTCCTGGAATGAGGTTTACCTGGGTGGTCGACAAATGCCTTTGATGTCGACACCCGCGCGTCCAGACTACCGTGCAGAGCCGACAAACAGCTGATTGGCTCAGCGCGGCAGCCATGTAAATTTAAATGAAGCGGCAATTATTTAAATCGCCGCTTCATTTTCCTATGCCTGGTAGCCTCATCTACATGCCTCTGTCGCCAGAGGCATGTAGTCTAGACGTAGCCTTAGACTCGTACTCTTTGGAGCAGAGCAGGGAGAAGGGTTAGTACAGTAACAGCCAATCAGGTCTTTCGATTCCATCAGGCCGGAGGAAATCAGCAATTGCTATTGGCTAGTGAGAAGAGAATGATGTATAAGTCAGTACTAGCATTTAAATGAGTCAAGATTTAAACAGAAAGCTGGTCTTTCCCTTAACTGCAGTGGGCCGGTCTAGTAGAGACTGATTTCGAGACGTGGCCTCTTTCTGTTTTGCGCCCACAATTTAGGAGGGACAATTAGGAACACTGCAAATGGTGAAATGGCTCATACCAGTGAATGATCCATATAGTCTGTGATCCCATCTCTGAGCCTGGCCACTACCAGATACTTTGGAGGAAGGCCCCGAAAGCCCCATAGAGGAATTATGGTGCATCTAAGCAAACTCCTTCTTAACCTCAGGCAGCTAGTAGTTGCCTTATGCACTAAAACAAAAGGGGCTATATCCCCAATGTATTTTATCCTATTTCATGTAATTGTGGGTTGCTCTTATGGGCCATGGAATGTTTCATCTTTTAATGTTCCAGTCTGCTAAGCTCTTAGCAAAATGTCCTGCAGCACTGAGTTCCACAGCTGAATCATGCATTGTTGAGAACTCATTTCTTTTCATCCACTTCAGACTGGGTGCTGTTACAGTTCTGTGTGTCTCCCCCTGCTCTGGTATTATATGAATAAATGAGGAGCTCCCAACTAACCTTCTCTCCTCTGATCTGCCCTTCATTAAACTATGGTGGTAGTCCTTAGGAAGGTGCCAGCGTTAATAAAGCCGTGTGTGAACAGGACTCCAATTCTGTACGTGTTCCTGTTCATTAGCCACCCCTCCACTGCCGGCCACAAATGGCCTTTCTCCAGCTGTTGCCACTCGGCAGGTCTACGTGGCTCCAGGTAGGGAAGGGATCGTTCAGAGCTTCCTTCATTGTCTGCAGCCTCACAAACCTGCCCATGGTGGAGGCCTTTCCTCCAGAAGCAGCTGCCAGTGAGTGGCGACGTGCTGCGGCCACTATCTGCATTCCCTTGACATTAAGATCAATAGGACGGGACTGGTTCCCAGCAAAACGGTAATCGCTGTTCGTAAGCGGCACTATCCTTTCCTAGTCCTAGCACGAGGAGTCCCGTAAGTACGGAGGTTAGTTCGCCGCCAATCTTAGTTATCGGTGGGAAACGGGACGCTTGTCCCCACAAGAGTATATTGCTCTATTTTATTCTAATCTCCTGTCTAAGCCTTTAATCCTGGCCGGTGCCTTCCCCTGCAGCCTTTCCATTTCTCCCAGAGGCTTTCGGAGCAGGGGAACCCACATTAAACACTGTCTCCGCACAGAGTGAGCATGCGCGAATTAGCCCATGGCACTCTGGGTTCCAGAATTGCTCTCTATCCCTTTCTTAAGTACGCCAAACATCTGGTTTGCTTTTATCCCCCCCTCCCCCTTTGACTGCTGCAGCACACCGAACACGTGTTTCCACTGCAATGGCTGTATTGGCAGCCAGGGCTATTTCCTGAGTGGGTCCAGTGAATTTAAAACCCATCAACATGTAGGTAAAGAAATGTGGGCATGGATGAGGTCGTGAAGACACGAGGGGCAGCTGCGATCTCACAGGGCATGGCAGCCAGGTTGCACCTGCCCATACGTGCCCCACACAGAACGGTGAGAGTGTGAGCTCTCCACCCACGAAACAGGAGGCCCCGGGGAGACAGCCCCAGCCCAGGCACAAC